GCGAGTTTGTCAGCAGCTTGTTTCGGAAGTATCAGCTGTGCTCATGAATATTTATGATGTTCCGTCTTGGCTCCGCCCCAGCGAGTCATGGGGGTCTTCCCGTCTCCGAGGGATCGGGTACACAGAATAGCACGTCACTATTCATGAGTGACGACAGGCCTGATTTTACAGGGCTGGTTAAAGGACCCAGACCAATCGTAAACCGTATCTGTCAAAGCTCTCAGGCGGGAGACGTCTGAGTTTACAAACTGGCCTCTTTGGGATGTGAACTTTTTGGTCCCTCCCTATGCTGAAGTGTGGCAAAACCGGCCAGAGAACTTGGGTGTCTCTAGGATTTTGATGAGTGACAGGGGCGGTGGCCAATCAGCTTTCAGCTGGGGCCAGTGTCCCTGTAACCCCTCCTTCATGTAAACAACTGCTAAACATTTCCTGGGTCCTGTCTGATTGTAGGTACTTAACATAGGGGTTTTAGGGAGTTGTGTTGAGCGCATAGAACTTTCCAGATGATGCTGGTGATTTTCCCTACTTTGATGCATATTTCGGTCAGTAGATTGTAGTCTGTGCGCAGAATCACGCCCGGCTGTTGCCTTGAGGTCGCTAATCCTCTCGACAGGGTGTCAATATGAAAAGTTCACGCACCCAAGAGGGGGTAGGTGGATTACACGGATACACTGGATCACACTCAGGATAACTGCGCTGGGATCCCCAAGAACCAAACAAGGTCCACGGCCATGACATTATACCGCCGACAGGGTCAAAGGTCATGGGACAGGTTGCTGATTGGCCGACGCTGGCTGTGGCACAAGGACAGAAATCTCCCACATTAACCTGAGATGTAAAAAAAAAAAGGAGGGAAAATGGCGCACATTCAATGGCGGAGGGAAAATAAATAAAGCCAAGTAAAGTCTGACTCACACATTCACACCATCCACTCTGTTTGTGTTGCAGACACAGCGATGAGACTAAATCAGATTCATATTCAAATATGCTCCTGTGCCACTGGCGAGAAGAATGAGCTCATTTGCTCCAGATCCTGGCAAATGGGGGATGGATAGAATCGCTCAAGACGTAGAACATCTGCTGTCCTCGTAAACCTGATCGGCCGGGGAGGTGCGGGGGGCGGCATTTATCAAAGGAGAAGCAGATAAATAACGGGGATGTGGGGCAGCGGGTTCGGGGGGGGTGACATCAATCCGCAGAGGGGGCGGGGGGGTCGGTGGTCGGCCATCTTGGCATCGCGCTCCACATGTTGAGGTCGTGGAGGTTGGTGGTGTAGTGGTTAACGACTCAAACTTAGAACCCTGAAGGTTGTTGGCTCCGGTTTCAAGAGGGCGCTGCTATGGTAACCCTCAAATCGAGGTACTTAAACACAAATGCTCCAGAAAGGCAACAAAGGATGCAGATGGTGGGGGTCCTTTGTGTAACAATGTTGGCAGAAAAGAGTGCAATTAAAAAATGGGTTAAGAGGGGAATGGTTCTGTTCACAACTGTAACAGAAATTCCCATCAGTGGAATGTTTATACACACATCGCGTGTTGGTGTGTGTGTTTTTGAGATGACCTATGGTTCCATTCTTCAGAAAATGGATGGTTATTAGACCAGCGCAGCACGTATTGTGTGGCTCAGAGCATTAGTATGCTGTCTGTGTAATCAGAAGGTCGCTAGTTCAAATCCCAGCGTTGGTGGAGTAATTTCACCCTCGGGCCCTGAAGCACGGACCTTAACCTCCAGTTGCTCCAGGGACAGACTGGCCCTACTTTCTCAAAATAAAAGTCTCCTTGGGTAAAAGCGTTTGCTAAAAAAAAACAGTAAATATAAGAAGCTTCCTGTTCATCATTTGCAGCTTTAGTTCTTTGCGATCTGGGATCATTCATTACGGGGAGTGTAAGGGATGTGCTGATAGATAGATATGTGTGTCGGTCCAGGGGCCATTTTTCAGTTTAGTGATCATTACACACCAGCTCTCTGCGGCAACAGCAAGGGCCGAGACCACATGTGCTAATGAGCATCGGTCTGCCAGCTGTCGGAGGCTGAATGGACAGGGGGGAGCCAGGCCGGGAGAGTAGGGGGGGGGGGGGGGGGGGGG